CCGGGCTCCGCTCCTCTGCGGGCACACGGTTTCCACCCGCCCTCCTCCAATAGGTTTAGCTGAGAAAAGCTGCGTTAGGAGCTGCCAGGGCTTGGCCCCCGCCCCGGGCTGTCCCCAGGGCCACCTCCAGCCATGCCCGGCTCTGCCTCAGGTTGACTCAGGGCAAAGGCTCCTTGAGGACACATCTGGCCGCAGTTCCCTCACCAGATCACTCAAGGCCACACCACCAAGCGAAACCAGCAACCACACCGGCACACCTGGGTCACAATGGGATGGCGGAGCTGCCAGGGCTTGGCCCCCGCCCCGGGCTGTCCCCAGGGCCACCTCCAGCCATGCCCGGCTCTGCCTCAGGTTGACTCAGGGCAAAGGCTCCTTGAGGACACATCTGGCCGCAGTTCCCTCACCAGATCACTCAAGGCCACACCACCAAGCGAAACCAGCAACCACACCGGCACACCTGGGTCACAATGGGATGGCTCTGCAGCCACCGTCTCTCCTGCGTCCAAGCTGGCACCTCATGTCCACACCAGGGAAGATGGGGGAAACCACCATGGGCATGGTGGCCAAAATGACTGTTTCCCTCCAGTTCCACCACGCAGCCTGTTCAGAAAATGTTTCGGAACACATTTGGGGTGAAGGAGTGATGAAGGAGCTTCCAAAGGCACGGGCCTCGCACACAACGAAAGCGAAACTTGGGCGCTGAAGGCAGAGGGTCACCCAGCTGGCCGCGGATGCAGCACCGTGCCATCTTCACAGCGCAGCGCAGCTCCAGAGGAAGCCCTGAGAACACCCACTCCACGCTCAGGCACCATGTGCAGCGCCAATAGACGCGGGTCTATTTTCCATCCTCCGCCACCCTGATTGCCAGAGGAGGATACGTTATCGAGTGACACTTTCTTGGCTCGCAGCCTAGCAGTGCCTCTTTGACATATTGGAAGTGTTTCTTGGCTCAGAGGAAAAACTGTGTAGTGTCCAGAAATAACTTGTTTCTGTCTCGGGAGAGATTTAATGCAAACCTCCCCTGTCGAGATTAGCTGCGCTTACAGAAACACTGATGCGATTTTGCTTTTCAGCAGTAGGAAAGTTGTTCCCCCCCTTTATTTTCCATCAGGAAAGCAAAAGCCTTTCAAAGAGAACATGCTCGGTTTTACCAGCGCTGCTGAAATAAACAGTAAAAGCAGCAGAAGGGCGGTTTATTGGAAAGAGCAGACAACACAGTGACATCAGGGGAAGAGCGATCACGCCAGCGGTGGAGGACACAGAGCTTTGTGCACAGCAGCACAAGCCGTACAGGTGCTGCTCGCGCTTGCACACGTGGAGGGAAGAATGCCAAAATGCTCTAAGCAAGACACGCTCAGAGCCTGCCAGACGCACAAACACCTCCCACTGAGCTTTCATCCTCCCATGGGGGTAACGGGCCCGGCCAAGCAGAGGCTGCGCCACCGGTCAAAGCCCGGGTTAGAGAAGGGCGTTTCTAGTGAAGTCCGTTACTCATCCCTGAAGTGTCCTCACACACACAGCGAGCTACCGACAGCGTGAATCAGAAAAGTCATCAACACAACAATGGTCTTATATATTTATTCCTTTTTTTTTTTCTTGTTTTTAAAGGACCACACATTCAGACACCTTTAAATACAACGTCCAAGTACAACTTTCTGATGAAAGCAGCAACGGTACAGCGTGTGCGCTTACGTTCATACCCACTGACACCAGCCCAGTCCTCGTGGTAGAGACATCTCCTGTTAAAAATAAAAATCCACACATTTAATATTTCATCAACCAAGAACTACCATTTTAAGGCATAACTAGAAGTGGGTCAGGCAGAGACAAGACATGCTGAACACCAAAAGCAGGCACGTAGACTCCACGGGTATTTTGAATCGCTAAGCCCCTCGCCTTGGCTCGGAGAGCGGCACAGGGGCCCAGCCCCTGCCCCGACCCAGGAGGAGAGTGTGGGGGGAGGCCAGAAGCACACACAGGAACAAACAGGAATGTGGAGGGATCTGCCGCTGCACACTGGCCTGAGGCCACCAGCTCATTTCCCCTGCAGCCCCAGAGCACCTCAGGGCAGTCGCTCCAATAACCCTTTCCTGCCCGTTTCCTTTCCTGCCCGTCTCCAGCTGCGGCTGGTGGGGAGGAAACGCTCACGCTCACTACAGGCAGCTGGGAGCTGTGTGTCACACCCCTCTGGAGGTCCCTACCCCACACGCTCTGCACGTGGCCAAGAAGCACTGAAAAGATGGGACTTTCATGACTGAAGTCATTTTGCCATCTACTAAAAGATCTGTAGATAATCTGAAGCGCCACGCAGGGCAAGATGAAAGGTCGCTGAGCCCCACATCCTCCCTCCAACAGCAGATGCCTCAGGAAAACACATATATTTTATCCCCCCTGCTCAGAGCAGGCAGCTGCTGCCAGCTCGCTCCCAGACTTGCCAGGCTCCTGCCTGCCATACAGCCAGGCGGCTTTGTCGCCCGACGCCAGGCACTCCCCTCTGCAGGTGTCACACGTGCACAAGAACTCTGTGCACACACATCGTTACCCAAGACATTGGCAGGAGCATGTTTCTGCTTACCAGGCATTGAAGAGCTGTTTTTATTCATAAACATCCTTCTTATCTGCAATGTAATCTACAATCTCTTGCGGACACATTAACTTTTCTGCATCTCCATCAGGAATTTCAAATCCTGGAAGAAAGTGCACGTATTTAGCCCCAAACAACGGAAACGGGAGCAAGGCTAAAGGAAGCAATTACCGCTGGCTCAGATGCCTGCAGCTCGGCAGGGGACAAACAGACAGGGGCTGCTGTGTCAGTCAGAGACAAGTTCCAAGCTGCGTTCTGCTTTACGCCACACTCCTTCTAGATAAGGGACAGGGCAGACGCAGCAGGGAGCAGGGCTACAGAGCCAGCCGGCAAATGCCCCTCACACCTCATTAAAGCCTTCCTGGAGCTTCCGCAGCCACCGGTGTGTGACAGGAGGTGGGATGTTTTTGGTCGCTCCAGGCAAGCCAGGGTGTGAAGCCTCTCAGGTTCAGAGGCTGCTGTTGAGCGCTCATACAACCAACAGCTCATACAGAGCCACAGCCAGGGACAGGGAGCAGAACGGCCCTCGGCCGTGGAACCGGTCAGAAACACATTCCAGAAAATTTATGTTCTTCTTTCTAGTCCTCACGGCCACACACTAACATTCCACCCATGGTACACATTAAGTGTATTAAATAGCGTTAGCCAATGCTCTGAAACATCTGCCTAGGTTTTAGAGAATGACCAAACCCCCGGGACATTTACGACCCATGGCACATACTCCAGAATTTATGAGCTTCAAGTGAAAGCACAAAGAAGTCCAAAAGGAAACAAAAAGAAAACTTGGAATATAAACTAATGAGGAAAAAACCTCCCTTTTTTGGCTGGTCGCATCAAGTATTGAGGATGAAAACAATTCCAGTGAGGAAAAACCTGGAATATCTGTAATTTCCCAAGCAGGAGCCAAGATGACCTCCAGGTGCAGCCTTCATGCCAAATGCAATATCCCCTGCCCTCACTTACACGCTGCTGCCCCCAACTCTCCCTCTCCACAGCAATGGGACAGGTGGTGCCCAGGAGGGGTACGGGGAGAAGAGCAGTCAGCGCTCCCAGAGGGACTGAGCTCAGAAGCAGACGGAGAGATGCCTTCTCTTGACTCCCGCTGGTGCCACCAGCGAATGTTCTCACTGAGTGAGAACTGCATGTTTTTCTTTGAATTACATCAGAGAAAAGTCAACGATACTATTCACAGGAAAGAACTAACACACATTTGCTACAGCTGCACTTAAGGATTAGCCTAAAAAAGGCAGTGATGAACTCCACCATGCATAGCTCTGAATTACCAAATTCATCTTCCATAGCCATGATGATTTCCACTTGGTCCAAACTGTCCAAACCCAGGTCTTTCATGAAGTGGGACTCAGCCGTGAGCTAAGGGGAGAAAAAAAAATAAAAATAAAAATCGCAGATCATTTGGCCGCAGCCATTTCAGTAGTAGGGAACCCGCAGCAGGACCTCCGGGTTAAACCGGAGCCTCTGGCCTTCCCGACCCCCTCCTGCCCACCAGGGCCCGGCAGTGCCTCTCCTCAGCCCACCCGGAGCTACCGGCGGCCCCGGGGGTCGGCCCCACCGTCCCCCCCGGCCCCACTCGCCTTCTCGGGGTCGATCTTGTCGTACAGTTTGAGGACGTAGAGGACGCGGTCCTTTATGTCGGCCAAGGTCAGGGGCGGCAGGTCGGAGAACCGGCGGCACAGCGGCCAGGCCGCCCGCGGTACCTGCAAGAGAGCGGGGAAGGGGGGGGTGTG